GGGACTCTTGGGGCGGGGCTTGTCCAGGCCGGAGTCTCAGGGGGGTCTGAGGGCTCTGGGGGTGCGTGGGCCGGCTTGGCGTTTGGTGCCCGAGAGGTCCGATCTCGGGTGGACTATGCGTGGTCTGCCTGATCTCGGGTTCCCCGCCTGCGCTTCACCCGAGAGGGACCTGGAACCAGGTCCCAAAGTCCTGTCCCACCCACCCCACCCCGCAACCTCAAAGTCAGACGGTGGCGTTTGCACCTGCAGCGTCCAGACATGGCGGCTGCGCAGACTGATGCCTCCCTCTGGGGGGCGCCGCTCCAGCTCCCCTCTGCCCAGGAACCCTGGCGGGCGGACGGCCTTGCCCTCGACCTCCCAGGGGGCGCACCTGGCCCTGCCCTGGGGCCCCAGAGTGGGATCAGAGGAGGAGGGGAGGTACTCTGGGGTCCCCAGTGAGGGGTCATGCGGGGTGGACCCTGAGGGCCAAGGACGTGGGCCAAGGACCGGAATCAGACGGGATCAGAGGAGGAGGCGAGCGTGGGTACAGCTCTGGCTCTAAGGGTGAGCCACCTCCGCCCCCATAGCTAGCACCCACCCTTGTGCCCACCGGGCCCAGCCGGACGCGGGAGTCTGTGGATAGCACTGGGTGCCGGGCGGCTCGCTCCGCGCTCCCGGCCACGCCGACCCTGCGATGCGCACAGCACCGCGAGGCGCCGGGTGTCCGGCCCCCTCCTCGGAGCAGCCCTGTCCCCGGGAACGTGACCTTGCCATCCTCGCCTTCATCCGGGAGCTTATCTCCCCGGAGCCAGGCCGATGCTGGTTCGTTAAACCAAGACTCATCACCCCGCCGACACAGCAGAGGCGCCAGAGTCCCTCCCTCCCAGCGGCGGCCTCGTGTTCCCGCTGCCCCGGAGGCTGTGTCGTGACCCGCCTTCCAGGTTGTGCCAGGCCCGCCTTCCGCGGAAGTTCTCTGGGAATCCCGCGGCGCCCTGCCCTCCCGATGCCGCCCTGGCCCTGCAGAGGGTCCATGTAACACACCTGGCTTTGTGTTGTCCGCAGGTGACGCTGGTGATGTTGAGGGGCTGCATGATGGCCCAGGGGCACGCGTGGGGGGACCACAAGGAGGAAAGGAACTGGAGCCTTGGGGAGGCTGGGGGTGTCTGCTGAGAGAGGGATGGTGGTAGGTATGGGTCCTGGAAGGGAGGGAGGAGGACTTGCAGAGAGAGCTCAAGAGGGAAGGAGACAGGGCTGGGCTGGAGTAGGGGTGAGGTTCACGCAGAGTGGAGGGCGGGCCCATTTCCAGGTGAGAGAATGGCACCAGGGGCAGGGGCTGGAGTCCCAGAGAAGGCCCCTGAGAAGGTAGGAGGGGAGACTCTGCCCCCCCACCTCAGGAAAAGCGGTGCACTCTGACCCTTACCCCTAATCCTACTGCACGGGCCCTGAGGTAGAGCTGTGGGCAGTGCAGGACCCCTGCTGTCTGCAGCTGCCTCCCCAGGGCAACCACACAACAGCAAACTGAAAAATGAACAAGGAAGGAACTGGCATGAAGGGACTTGCTGTCCCTACATGTGATGAGGGGTGGAGGCCTGAATGCCCAGGGCACTGGTCATTGAAAGGGCAGCGGGAAGACCAGGGCAAAGGCCCCGTCAAGGAAAAGAAAAGGTACCTCTGCCCCAGACTCGTCTGAGGGACACACGACACCCAGGGAAGGGGCAGCACGGTGATGCTGTTATTAAGTGCCGTCCAGTTGGTTCCGGCTCATAGCGACCCCTATGTAGGACGGAACGCAATACTGCCCGGTCCTCGACCCCGTGTACCACAGAACAAAATGCAGCCCGGTCCCGCGCCAGCCGCACGATCCTTGCTATACTTGAAGCCATGTTGAAGCCATCTCACTGAGGGTTTTTCCTTTTACCTCACCCACCGCTTTGCCCATACTTCCCCAGGGAATGGTTCCCAGCGTCCAGCCTCACAGCAACATGCAAGCCACCACCACAGTATGACAAGCTGATAGGCGAGTGCTGGGACGGTGATGCTGGGCCAGCCAAATCGTTAGTTCGCTGATGGTCCCTCTGTGTCCCTTACCTCAGCCTGCCTTCTTCCTGTCTTCCAGCACCCTCAGAGCCAGATGGCTTCAGGATCCTAGGCTCCCCACCCCCCGCCTGTCTCCTAATCTCCTCAGAAACCCCCATTCTGACTTTGGCCCCCATAGCCCCCCTGACCCCACCCAGGGGCCAGGTTACAGAGGAGGGCTAGGTGCTAGAGCCAGCAGGAACCAGAGCTGGCCTTGAGTAGCCTCTTCCTGGAAACTATGACTCATCCATGGTGCCAGTGAGGGGGCAAAGCCTTCCACGGCTCACCCCGCCCTGTAGTCCACAACACAGGGCTTCTCAGGAAAACGATACCTAAGGACGGACCTTTCTCTACTTGAGAGAAAGTGGGGCGCACGGGAGACATCTTTTTTTTTTTTTAATTTTTATTGTGATTTGGGTGAAAGGTTACAGAGCAAATTCACTTTCCATACAGCAGCTCACATACACTGTGTCTCATGACATTGATTACAATTTCCCACAATGCAACAGCTCCCCTCCCACTTCCTCTCCATAGTTACCTCTTCCCTGTGTTCATCCCTCCATGCATTCCTGCCCCCTGAGCTGTCTCCCTGTGCACACACAGCCCTTCTATCTCCCATGATTGATCTCTCTAAGGAGTGTATCTATCTAATGTAAATGTTCAGCTCACATGCCTGTCTTTTGTTTGGCTGGAAGCCACAGGATTGGGTTCAATTCCAGATCTGAAGGGCAGCTAGGGGCCGTAGTCTCAGTGGTTCCACCAGGCTCTATCAGACCAGCAAACCTGGTCCCCCACCACCACTGTTTTTTTTGTTTGTTTATTTGTTTGTTTGTTTTTTATAATTTTGAGTTTTGTTCCACATTGTTTTCCCACTCTATCCAGGATCTCCTACATAGGTCCCCAGGGGAGACATCTTTCAAAAAGGAAACCCACTCTTGACCATGGCAGTCAGAATTTCAGCTGTGCCTCCTGATCTGACATATTAGTTAAAACAACAAGCAAAGAACACTTCACTCACAGGCTCTCAGGGGCTTTGCAGAACACCTCCCAACACAGGGAGCAGATCTCTGCCAGAACACAGAGCCCAGCCAGATCTAGACTCTCAGCCTCTCACCGTGTCTGGCCTGCGTGATGTCCTCCTTTGTGCAGGCCATCAAGGGCCATTTGTTCTGTGGGTCTGTCTCTTCCTGAGATTTCCAGTTACCCCCTTGCTTGACAATTAACTTGTAAAACTGGAGTCGAGAGCTGTGATGGTTAATTTTATGTCATGTTGGCTACACTATGACTCCCAGAGGTTTGACCAAGCACTAGACTAGTTGCTGTTCTGTGATATGATAGGATGTCATGTCCTCACTTTCCGTGATGGGATCACTCACTCAGCTGAAAGGGAGGTTTCCCTTAGGGGTGTGCTCTGCTTCCAGGTTAGGGAGACTCCCTCTCCTCCTGCTTCCTCTCCCTCTTTCCTCTGCACTTTCCCCATCACCTGACCAAAGGAGTCTCGGAACACAAGCCTACAGAAGTCCCCGGCCTGCTGCCTCACCTGCAGTTGGAACTTGCCAGCCCGCAAAATTGCGTGAGCCCGTCTCCGGAAGTAAACCTCTCTTTCTGGATATATATAAACCCGTTGCCATCGAGTCAATCCCAACTCATAGCAACCCTAGAGGACAGAGTAGAACTGCCTCATAGAATTTCCAAGGCTGCAAATCTCTACAGACGCAGACTGCCACAGTTCACTCGATGGAACAGCTGGTGGGTTTGAACTGCTGACTTCTGGGTTAGCAGGCAAGCACATACCCACTGTGCCACCAGGGCTCCTTAAATAGACACACACACCCACACACACAAACACACGTATATATATGAGTCAGAACTGACAAGACTGCACCTACCATCAACAACGTGCCCCCCACTGGTTCTTCTCCAGAGAACCCTAGGACAAGGATGCATAAGGGACCTGCACAGGGCATGAGTGAGCAGATCCATGAGCTAGCTCAGTAGCAATTCCCTGAGTAAGTCTCAGAACTCGCCTTGCTCCCTCCCAACCGCACCCCTCCCTACACCCCAAGGAAACCACCGTGACATCACTGACTGCACTCGCCCACGTTGAATGGCACAAAACTGGAACCACAGCGCAGGATTATTTGGGGCCTGGATTCTTGTACTCAACCCATTGTTGGTGAGCTGCGTGCACTTTGCCGTCCCCAGGTGTTGGTAACTGCTGGTGTACGCTGTTCCACTGTAGGTGTACGCGGCGACATGTTCATTCTCCTGTGGATGGGCTCGGGGTGGTGGCCAGATTGGGGCTATTACAAAGCAAGTGTCCAAGTGCATTCTCGTCCACGCCTTTGGATACCAGGTACACACCTATCTCCCAGAGTAAAACTGCTGGCTTGTGGGATAGGCTGTGTTCGCTGTTGGAAGATAATCCCAGAGCTTTCCAAAAATCTATACAAAAATACAAATTTCGGCTTCCACTGGAAATGTAGGAGACTTCCTTCCACTTAGCATTTTGCCAGTTCTCACCACAAGCAGGTTCTCATTGTGGCCCTTGCAGCGTCGGGAATGCAGAAGTATCTCAGACCAAACTCAGAAAACAAACCAGATGCTCTTGACTCAAGTCTAACGCATGGTGATCCCAGGTGTGTGTCACAGTAGAACTGAGGGCTCTAGGGTTTTCAGTGGCTGAGTTTTCTGGGTTCCTGGGCCTTTCTTCCAAGATGCCTCAGGGTGGCGCTGTAAGCCTTTTGGTCAGCAGCTGAGCATGCTAACCGTTTCATCACCCAGTGACTCCCAGGGCTATCTCAGTGTGGCCCTAACTGCCATTTTTCTGAGGGTGAGTGAGGCTAAGCACTACAAGGTTGGGTTGTCTGCCATGTGGAATGCCTCTGGTGAGGCCCTATTGGAAGGTTTGGCCATTTTTCTGTGGAGTTTTCCTTGCTCATTGATTTGTTGGAGTTCTTTACGTATTCCAGAAGGGAGCCCTTCCTTGGTCAGTTATACCAATTATGTACCATACATATATACCTTGCTGCACGTCAGGGATGTTCTTGTCAGCCTATCAGTGGTGGCTATCATGGATTGAATCATGTTCCCGCAAAATATGCATTGACTTCCCAGTCCTGGTACCTAAGGATGTGACCCTGTGTGAAAACAGGGAGTTTTCTTTTGTTATGTTAATTGGGTCACACCGATGTTGAGTGGACCTTAAATCTAATCACTTCTGAGTTACGAAAAGATGAGAATAGACACAGAGACACATGTGGGGAAAGACAGACACCATGTGACCATTATCTAAAGCCAAGGACTAAGGCACCAAGGGACCCCCAGGGCTAGGGACAAGGGAGGGATCAACCGCGAGACCCTGATTTGGACTTGTAGCCTCCAAAACTGTGAGAAAATAAGTTTCTAGTCTTGAAAGACATCCACATGCAGTATTGTCTTACAGCAGTGCTAGGTAACTAAGAAGGTCTCCAGGCAGCACAGGCGGTTTCTGATCAGCTGCTAACCTAAAGGCCGGTGGTTCAAACCCACCCAGTGGTACCTCTGAAGGAAAGGAACGGTGATATCTGTTTCCATTAACATTTCAGCCAAGGTCTGACTTGAGCATGGTTCTCTTTTAAGACCTAAAATTAAAACCCCCAAACAAACCCACTGCCATCCAGTTCATTCCTGCTCATAGAGACCCTAGAGGACAGAGTAGAACTGCCCCATAGGGTAGTCAAGGCTGCAACTTTTTTTCTTTTTTTAATTGTGATTTGGGTGAAAGTTTATGGAGCAATTTCATTTTCCATATGGCAGTTCACACACATTTTGTCTCATGACATTGACTGCAATTTCCCACAATGTAATAGCTCTCCTCCCACTTCCTCCCCATAGTTCCCTCTTCCCTGTGTCCATCCCTCCATGCACTCCTGCCCCCTGAGCTGTCTACCTGTGCATAA